TTTGCTAGAATATATTTATACATAAACAAAATTCAGATTTTCATCTCCAATGTTAAGCCAGTTATTCTGTATGGGTCAGAAAGTTGCACTGCGCGTCACCAAGTCGATTTCCAATAGTCAGCTGCAGCATTAATCAGCACCTGCCTCCACTCCATACTGAAGATGAACTCTCCAGAAAGAATCAATGTAGAAGAAGTCCTGGGAACGAATCAACCAAGAACAAATATACCAACGAAAATGGATATGGATCGGACACAGACTGAGGCAAACGCACGTCAGTCCAGCCCTTGAGGGGAACCCAAATGGGAGTCAGATAGTGACATGGAGTAGATAGATCGTTCAAGGAGGAGATGAGAGCTTATGGGCAATTTTGGGGCCGCATGAAGAGGACTACAGAGAACGAGGCAAGATAAAGATGTTCTATTGAAGCACCATGTACCACTAAGAATCAAAGGCAATTATAGTAGTAGTGTGGTGAGAGCTGGCTGCTAGCCAAAGTTGGCAGACAGTAATTGACGTCAATGTTTATGTCCCCAATATTGGTGGTGAGAAAATGAGAACAAAGGCTTTGCGTAGGCGGATACAGTTAGCATATAGATGATCTGACACAACAACAAAGAGATTCAAGGTTAACTTTCTGTGAGAAACAACCAATCAAAAGACTGTATTTTCTACTAACAATAATCTACAATTATGTACATTAAAATCTATAAATATGTGTTGATTTTCCTTAATAAGCGATCTGTTGCCTAGCCCTTGTCTTCTGTTGTTACAGTAATAATAATAATAATAATAATAATAATAATATATACGTGAATATCTTTCTGAATAATTTTCAAATTAGATAACATAAAGTTGCTGAAAAATATTTACATGATAAAAGGTAAACACAATTTAAGCTAAAAATAGAAAAAAGTATTGATTGTTTTTTCCCAATTTTTTGTTTATTATTTATATTTTGTTACTTTTTTTTTCACTGTTCAATCTATCATTATTATTATCTTCCATGCAAAAAGACACTCAAACTGTAACAAGAGAAGGCAAGACACGGAAGCCAAGGTATATTTTCAAATTATCAAAACTCTGTTTTTTTATACATATACAGTTTATGTTCTTTAACCAATCATTGAGCGTGTGATTTTGGCTTACATTAAACGACATGAAATAGAATGTTCAAATAGATATATCTAGTGTTCTGTTGCTAATGCCATATTGAACTGTGAGAATATATGCGGATAATATTCCGTTGGAATACATTGTCTGTATCACACCACCACAAAACCACGCCGTATTCGTCATGTGATTAATGTACAAGAAAAAAATCTGTACATAAATTTCAAAATAAAAACGCTAAATATTATTACTATTTTTTTAAATTCTTTTTCATTCCAAGTGTGGAATGTACATAACTTCAAGCATTTTTCGAAGTTACAATAAATTCAGTGTCATTATTTTTACACGGTAGGTAGGGTTGTCAGCTATCCCCATCATATTCCCAACTTTCCCCTTACTTTCAACGCACACTTTCGTCTAGTGAACCGACCAGGTGAGGTTTAGAAGTCCATCGACCAGGACTCGAACTCCAGACTAAGTAGTGAGGCGGGGTTGGCGAGCATTCTGACGCATAAAGCAGCATTAATAAAACATCAAAACTGATGACTACCTATATTCTTGGAGAAAACCACGGTAGATATATTGTCGAAATCGAATAAAAGAAGTAAGAACTATAATAAAATGAGGCATTCGAATTCTAGAACTATCCTGTTGCCTATTTGTTGTCTTTTCGCTAACCTCTACTCTCATTACTGTTTCAAGACAATGCCAACTTGAACTGTATCACTTTTGCATCGATTTCTACCTCGGCTGGTTTGTCTTTTGATATAATTACGGGCAGAGAGAATAACTTGTACTTAAAATAGTCAAGTCAATGAATCCCAATATTGGCTAAACAACACTCCATCTTCAGTCTATGAGTTCCAGGGTTGAAGGTTTTCCCTCCCCTTCCCCACCTTCTTCAAGCCTAGGCTATACTAGTTAGTTATTATCATTGTAGTATGGAGACGCGTATGTGAACAATCTGTCCCGGATAACTGCATAACGTCTCTAACATGCATATTAGTTCAGTTATTCCTTCTAGACGTATGGTTTAAATAAAAATTTAGAGGGAAATATGTACCTGATGTTTGCGTTAGTTAACATTAAAAATTACACCGCTAAATTGAGGTATCAATATCCCATCTCTTGGCCCAACAAGTTGCCTTCATTATTTCGTGCATATTTATTACGAGCTTGGAAATGACTCAAATTATACACCATTACATTTCTAAATTAAAATTGATGGGTATGTTTTCTGTCCTTTTTAAATGAAACTCTATCCTTGTTCATGTAGTACTCTGTTGTGCTAAACATATTACTCATAAAAACAATTTGAATATAAATGAGAACCTGTATACTTAATTGTTAAGAGGACAGATGGGTAGTTGTGTTCTGTTAAGAACTGGAATTGAGTAGGGAACCATTGTTTATTAAATAAGCTCTACACACCTACCCTGTCGTGATTTCAACCTGTTCAGTGATTCTTACTCACGAATTGGTGAAAAATCAACAGCGAAACTGATAAGTTTCAAGGTGAGAGCATGCTGTGCTAACACTTCGCGCTCAGGCTTCTTAAACTCAACAAAGTTGGAAATTGCAGTCTCGGAGTTCCCTAACTCACTTATGCCAACTTCAGACAACAAGGACCAGATTTTTTAAAATTATTTTGTAAGGATTATTAATATGTTCGTATAAAATGTATACAAACAGTTACAGATATTCTAGAGGTAAAACAAATATAAATATTAATCGCTATCCAGTCAGGCAATATCCCTGACTTTTCAAAAATATTGTTTTCTGACGATTAGAGGCTATCCTAATAGGTCAATAGAATTCTGAGCGTCAGATATGAACATTTAGTCGGTCCTGTATGACCTGAAAGGTAGTTAGTTTCGAGTTCCAGCTAGCTGTTATTTAACAGAACACTAGACAACTAACAAGGAGACAAGTTGACATCGAACTAGATCATTGTTTTCCATAAACAAGGTCACAAAAATTGGTCAGATAATGTGAAGATGAACCCTATACTAATAACACAATCAGTAAGTGTGTAACGGAAAAAGATAAGAGACTTGGTAACGGACCGTTATAAAAGAAAAACAACAAAATATTTGTACATTCTTAGCCATATTACAGTTCGAGTGGGTCAGAGAAAAGAATAAACTGTCTTGATTGCTTGGCAACTGGCGCAAAGGTTAAGCAAGTCGCCCAGTGAAGTTATTTCATGTCCACAGAGTAAACTAAATCCAAATTTGAGGGACAAACACTTCTACTCCTGCAGCCATTGATTAAATTTTGATTTAGGGTTTTGACCGTTTCCCATCAATCTACATCACGATACACTTGCCCCCCCCCTCATCAAATGATTTCTAGTGGAACCGCTCCGACCATCTTGGTGCTACCCACCCCTGTTGCGTCTTGTTATCGCCTTGCTTATCCCACTGTATCCACCTCTGAAGTTTGGCTGGCGTTAGCACGCTTCTGTTTCCTCTTCTAATGGTGAAAAACAGGACCACATCCCTCGGTGACCATGTATGGTCCTTCCCAGGTCTCCTCACCACTTGCCCGCTCCACATTGTCGGACGCCGTCTTACCGGACCTCTCAGCAGTAAAAATAATAATAATAATAGCTTTATTCAGATAAACCTGTTCATATATAGTAAACAGCTCACGAAACGTTCCATTGCAGAGTACTTACTCCTTGTGTCGAATGCTCAAGTATATTAATAATCTGTAATATACGACTCGAAGTTATATTGTTTTATCCAAAGCACACTCTAATAACCTGCAATTTTGCTTCCTTCATTTCCTTCAAATAGGATGAAACCTATTTGAAAATGTGCCTGAGTAAAGACTGATTCAAGGATGTAATTTGATAAATCAAACAACACGAAATAGGGTAGATGAAACGCAGCACCTTGAAAGGACGAGCATTTGATAGCAGCCGTCATTGAATTGATGACCGATTAACCTATGTCTTGTACTAATGTTTATTATATATGGGATTTTATTCAAAAAAAGATCTATTTTTGTAGAATTAAAAAATCACAGCATGGCCAACAGAACTGAAACCACAAGGCTAATGGTAACGATTGATAGAGATGGAATATATCTGGGCAGAGACTGTCAGTGATCAACGGACATTTCTATGTCACCACAACTGAGATAGGTGGTAGGACACTTGCTGCTTATACCAAGATGAGCCAACGCCTTTCTCCACAAGCAATGTTAGCTGCTGACATAACAGTACTTTGGAAAGTTCCGGATGGAGAAACTAAATCCTGACATCAATCCATTAATTCTTTGACTATTGGTTTCAGCCACATAGAAAGGTGTAGACTGCCTGCTTTGGGCCCCTGAGGATGGTAAGAAAATCAATGGCTGGAAACCGTTGGTGATGATATTGCTCAAAACCTTTCTCAATGACTTAGATGTATTTATCAGTCGGTTTATACTACTGAAAAACGCATCACTAGTCGATTCTTCTCAAACTAAATAACACAAAGTGCAGTCACATAACTCGATATCTGACCCCACACACCCACGCAAACGAATCAACCAAATAATACACAGATACAGACACACGCACACTAGACGATAGAAGGTAAATACAAGACATATATACTTCACTAAACGTTATTCATCATTAGTATTTTATCAAAAAGTGTCACCATCACAACTTTTTTTTCTTAATCTCTATGTGTAATAATAACAATAATAAGGAACAATAATAAACGCAAATAGAAATCTTTACTGTCACAAAATAAACTTTTACGCATAAGTATGCGTGGGCGTGTGTGTGTGTGTATGTGTCGGAGGAGGAGGAGGAGGAGGGAGGTGTGAGCAAAACAGAAACACAAACATAACGACAAGGTAGGAACGAAATTTTTTTGAAAAAAAAAGAAGGAAATACTGAGTGAAGCGAGGGAATTTCAATTCATCAAAATCTAGTAGACACTAAGCGGTAGCGTCATCATTAACGATTTTCTAGTGCAGATTATTGAATCGAAAGAGATGCTCAGAAAAACAACAATAATAATAATCACGCAAAATTGTCCAAAAATATTTTCTTTCATTTATACTTTAGCAAAATTTGGAAGAAGTATACATAAATATATGCGTGTGTGTGTGTGTGGGAGCGAGAGAGAGAGGGAGAGAGTTAGTGGATAGCTCAATTATATAATTTATGGATTATGTATGAGGAGACCTACTACAAAAAAAGCTGATCAGAAGAAAAGCGAAAGGTAGTGCGAAAACAACAAGAAAGGAGGGAGGATCAATCAAATTACTCGATTAAGTTGATTGAGTAGTCAGTCAGTCGTCAATAATAGAGGGGGGGGGAAGCATGTTCTTCTTTTTTTTCTTCTTATCATTGGGAGAGGAAGGAATATAAAGAGGAGTACTATCACTCGTAGAATTATAACAACAACAACAACAACAACAAGAAAAATTACATCATAACAGTATTTGTATAGTCTACACTCTGATTAATAGAAGCAACAGTTTTCAAAAAACCAAAAAAAACACACACACAATGTTAGCATACACGCAGAGAGAAACAAAATGTAGGGCAATTAACGAAGTAAATAAATAAATAATTGTCAATCTGAACATTAAACATCATACAGAGGGGACTTCGTCTTCCGAAGAAATTCTCCATCTCCAACAAAACCAACTATAAGCCAACAGGAAAGACTGAAGGACAAAGTTAAACAGCAATGAGAAGGCGAAGCAAAAACAGATAGATAGATAAATAAATAGATTCACACACGCACACACACATAAAACAATAGGACTAGTCACAAACAAACTGAAAGACAAAATCTGAGAGAACAATAAATTAACGGCACCCATGTGGATATGAAGGGATTGTTGGTTGTTTAATTTTCATCAGTGTGCATTAAATATATATGTATATACGTAAAGGTTAATTAAACCACATACACTTGAATGACTAATATAATATGGAGTAGTTTATTTTTCTATTTTTTTAAAAATATTACTCTCTTTTCATGCCTGAGCAATTCCATCTGATGTAGCTGAAGACGTTGGTCTAGTACCACCAGCACTATGACATCTAGATGGGGGATTATTGGTAATTACTGCATCTAAACGATGATTATTAACAGTGTGAGTAGTATTAGTACTAGTATTAGTAGTGGTAGTAGTAGGAATAGTGGTAGCACTAGCTGTAAACATGGTTGGTTTAGAAGAACCACTGATGATATGTGCAACTCCGCCACTACTCGATGTCATTCTTAACACACCACCATTAGAGTAGGATGATGAATTGGCAGCACAACCAGTGGTAGTAATAGGATGATTAATTGAGCCATTCATATAGTGCAGAAAATCAGGATTAGTTAAATTTTTCACAAGTCCACCACCACCACTATTACTTCTCATAATAGTATCCTTTACTAGTTGAGATGAAACAGATGATGGATAGTCTTCCGTTAATTGTTGTTTTGATGTTTTCACGGAACCACGAGACAACTGGTAAAAGCAATGACGACATACACGTACTGGTTCACCTGGTTGACTTGGCACAGCAATACGACGATCAGAACAATTGCCACAGAATATATAGCCACAATTTCTGGAATTTAAAAATTAAAAGTAATTAATTTCATGTAATTTTCAGAGAGAGGGAGAGAGAGAAAAGGAACAAACTGCAGTATGTCAGTCATTGTTTACAATTCTCAGCCATAATTGACGACGTCTCAAACCACTGGTTTGTATTACCTCTCGGACCCTTCCAGAGAGTAATGAGGCGCCAAAGAATAAAACCCTTGGACACGTGGAAGCGGTGAATAGGACTTAACTGGTAGAGGCTATCAACACGTGTAGCCACATGATAGCATTGCGGAAGAAATACCGAAGTCTACACACCATGGGCTGTACGAGGTGATTTATGGAAGAAGGGATAGCAAAGAAATTACAATTTTGAGCGTTAAATGGCTGTACAGCCAAGCGACTTTAGTGATGGATACATACACATGGATAATCCCTAATCCTGGGAAAAGACATCCCTCAGTTGATATAAGTTACAAAAATGACTTAGTATTTTCAAAATCTTCCAACAAGAAACACAGCTCACAAGAAGTGATCTTTAGAAGAATCCTAGAATGTATAAAATAATCCTTTGGGATCATTTGTGCCAATTTATTATGTTAAGTGAAGCGAAATTAGATTACAAAATATTATAAGTGACTCAATGACTGACTGACAAAATGGACAAAATATTGCAAGTAGCTAATCAATGAATTTAATGAATTCTGGCCAAAATCAACATACTACCTTCCAAATTACTTGACTGATAGCATCTAGGTTTTAGGAGTTCCAACTAGACTATTATCAGTCTACAAATACACTACAATTCTTAATACATTCAATGACCGATTCATTGGTAATAATGGCAAGATCGTTAGTAGTTAACAGGAATGTGTGACTGAAATCCTGAAGTCTCAGTCACACACACACACACGCTGTTTCATAGCCTCAAAATCCACCTTTAGTCATTGCACCACCTATATAGGATGCTCGCCAACCATACGTATGATCTGGGACTCGATCCCCGACCGGCGTGCAACTTTACCTTACTTAGTCGCTTATAACCCCGACAAAGAGGGCTAGCAACCCCATCCCGTAAAAATGTTTTTACAATCGTGTGGATCGAAGGGCTGGGTATGTAAGGTGCAATATAACTCCCTAATAATGCGAGGCAGTAATATGGTTATTGAGTTACAACGATTACCATCAAAATAGGGTATATAGTTGTGTGGCTTACAGCAAAATAAACTGTTTCAAGGGGTGGGGTTTCTTCCTACTTCTCGGCTAGTAAACTACCCAATGTTCAGGAGTGCATCTGAAGGGAATAGAACTCAGGTCATATGAGTGGTCAGTCGGTGAGCATTCTCTACCATTGGACCACCACCGATGATGCACCAAACAAGGACCCCAATCTCTATACTCAAGCTATTGATCGTAACACAAACCATCGTTTATTATTCAACCCTTATAGCCAAATAACTATGTCATCATATGAACTTGGAAGAAATTTCACAGATAAAAAAAATGTTTGAAGTTGAGAAATAATAATAATAATTGAAAATTAATATGAAATGAATAATTTTCAGACAATATGACTTACCGACAATGATGTTTAGGTCGTATTGCCGAGAATTCAATACGACATTGTGTACACTGATGAGCAATACAATCTGGTTGCCATACAATATATTGAGTATCCTCTGCATCAATTAATTCAAATGAATTCACTTCCCCTGATGATGCATTCAAAAATGTTGATTCAACTAGATTAGACTGTTCACTTGATGCTTTGGAAACTAAATTATCTGATACATGAGAAGAAGTATAACGAGATTGGCTTGATCGATAATTATCATCTCTAACAACCTATAAATATGAGAAAAAATAAAAATATTTATTCAACAAAATTGAGATTTTATTTTATTTTTTTTTATTACAGCTTGATGCCACACCGTATTTACAGTACAAGTATGGAATTTTCAGCATGGATATCGGTAGCCCGAATTTTGCAGGCCGACCATAGATATCGGGTGTGCGTCGGCAGGGGACCGAACCCCGGACCATGTGCATGGTCGGCGAGAGTCCTAACCACTGTGCCACCGACGCACATAAAGAAACAAGAATCAATACGTTTCGCGTAAAACTCCGTAGTATTATTTATACTAACCAGTGTTGGATAGTTTATTTACACAACGTTTAACTTAAACGGTAGAAGACGAAAGACTTGGTAAAGGAATGTTTATTTGAAAATTGGTTTCTCTATATAGCCAAATTATGTACACCTTATCTTCAACGCACCATTTTCACAGGTCTTCCTTCATATTGTGTTTCTTTGTGTTCCATTCACTTCTCCCATGTGTCTCCACAACACGGTATCATTTAGCTTCTCTGACATCCAATGTATCACCCTGCTATCTAATGTTTTTTATGCCGATGAACGTCACCTTATAATACTACTGATAAATCTTACCAGCAGCACTCAACACATAACTATTTCAGTGAGAAACTCACAGAAGGTGATGAAGATAACCAACCAAACAACCAACATTAGCAAACACCAATCACTATCAACCGAATGAATTTGGAAAAGTTCACTTCCTACACTTATCTAGGCAGCACCGTTTCAACTACAAACGACAGGATGGATGAAGATGTCAAAACTAGAATAGGCAAAGGCAAGACAGACCTCCATCACTCTGAAAATAAGTTTGGAAATCTGCTGTATTCAACATAAAGAATAAAATTCGAATTTTCAACACCAAAGTCAATCCAGTCAGTTCTTCTATGTGAGATACGATAAACATTTCATAAAAGGCTGCAGATTTTTATTGATAGCTATTTTCTCTGACTCCTTACTGAAGATCAAATGACCAGAAAGAATTAGCAACAAGAAACTTGGGGAACGAACCGACTAAGAACCTTTTGCTCATGAAATATGCTGAAGAAAATGAAGATGGATCGGGGACACACTGAGGGGACTACTGTTGAGTGACATAGTGCGACAGGCAGACACGAAATACAGGCAGTAATTTGCAGTATATCATCAGACGGAATTTCGTCCCATTTGAAATATGCTCTCCCGTTTCAACGTATTTGTCGCTTCCAAAACAGACTAGGCAGTACGCTAAGAGTTATTCAAAAATGCACGTGAGTAGAATATATATATATATATGGGATGCCTGACTGTATTATAAAGAGAAACTATTGTAGAGGTATTGTCTATCAGATACGAATCTAATAAAACTTTTTAGGTTGTTTGTCATATTTCACCCAATCTTCCGCGTGCTCTACGAGTACGACTTTTACATACAGCAGATGCAATCGGAATCCATCTCAACAAGCCTACTGGGTGTATTCAAAAGGAAGTTGTGCAGTCGTTTCCTATGCTGTGGCCAGTTACATAATATGCATTAAGTTTTACAGATGATTTTCCCCTCTTCTTCTTTCTGTCTTTTGGCTTTGTTATTTTATTATGCCTTTCATTACAGGTAATTCAGTTAATTTGTCTGTATCTTCATGTTCCCAAATAATTCCAATTGGTTATTCTATTCTATTTTATTCTTCATAGTTATCAGCATTTTATGAATTCTTGATTGTGTAATAACTTGTTACTAACCCCTACGAATTAAGCAATCTTGGATTCTGTAATTATTATTTTCACCACCCCCCCTCAAAATGTATATATCTTGTTGCTAACTATTGTTTTAACGACCTTTAAACCCACCCACCATATGACTGCTTTAATTTTGATGTAATAAACTATCAATTAAGTGTACAGCCGATGATGAAGGGACGAATTGAAAAGGAATATATTGCTTCGCTCAATTTGTTATTTTATCAGCTAATTGGCAAATAAAAACATGTTTGAAGGTCTGTTAATCAAAATCTAAGTATATGGCACAGAGTTTATGGAAAGTTGGATTCAATTGCTATGATGGATGATTTTCCCCAAAAATACTCTACAACGAAATTTTTTCCAGCGTACATTCACATTTGTGGGCTTAAGTTGATCCTTAGTTTCAGTGAAATGTATTCAACATAAAAACAGATGATATTTACCAGGTTCATTTATTGTAAGAGTAGAATTTGGATACTCTGGTCGAATGTAACTCAATAATATACAAGTTTATTTTGATATAATACGCACGCACGCACAAACACACACACACAGTGATACAGTACTAATAATTGGATGACGTTTCGAGTACAGTTTGTTGCTGTTCATTATCCCAGCAAAATGCATTCACATGCACACGTGACTGCAACCACCCTTGCTTTTTATAGCAATTTTCCATATAGTCAATGGGGGAGGGCGTTGCCTCATACTGATTGCACGTGTTTGTTGTTGATTCAATGGTTAACCCCTCTCTCTTTCACTCTCCACTTAACTATATTACTTACTTTTATCTGATCTCACTCTATTGTGTGATTATAAAAAACACGTGAACACACTACAATGATGATCGATCTATTATCCTGTAGATTATTCACCTCAGCAGGACCAGTCATCCTAGACCTAGGTAAATTCTTATGACACTGTGTAATTGACGTCGTAGTCATAACATGGTATTTGGTAAATCAATGTATTCACTTATTGTCACTGATCCCCTATTTCAATAATCAGCAGAGATGAGATATACACGAAACTTGTACGATAATAATAATAATTTGCTTTATTCCCAAACAGTACTTGTGATACAGAATGGAATTCTCAGCATTTTTACTACAAGACTGCATCCATTTAGTACATTATCAATAAATAGAATTCTACATAGATTAAGGAAATCTCAGTTCATTATGACAACAACACATTGGCATGTCGGTAGCAAAGCCAAAGTTGAACAGTGTTTGAAGGTGTTAGAAAAGTAGGTGCTATAATATTTACTGGCGTAAGCAAGAGAAAGAAACAAAGCAGCACATAACGGAAAAAAGAGGATAAACAAAAAAAGAGAGAGAAAAGAAAAAGAAAGAAAGAAAATGTTGTACCTATAAGTGATATGAGTCGGAAAGACGAGGTCCAGTTGTACTACTGACTATTTAATGAATTATAGGTGTCACGCCTAATGCTTTCTTTATCGCACAGAACACGAGCTAAGTAGGGTATGGTTGAGTTTTTGTACTTGCTGGTGCGAGCATATAGTTTTCTATATAGACTTCTGGTTTTACCTGATGAGATGCAAGGGGAAAGTTGTGAGTGGAGAGGGTGGTGTGAGTTAGATAAAATGGATTTGGCCCATTTTTCACATGAGTCCATGTACCTGTCAACCAGAATATTAACAAGCTGGTTAAGTGGCACGTTGCTTACCCCCGCTGACAACCTTTAACATCCTGCGTAATATGTTATAGTCTTTCTTCAGTAGATGACAAATAAACTTGGAATTAAACCCACGGTTTCGTTTAACAATTTTTAGTAACTAACCCACGGTAGTAGGAGGGGGGTGGAGAAGTTTCTTCTGTGTGCATAACCGTGGGTTTAATTCTAAGTTTATTTGTCATCAACATTTCTTCAGTAGCCCGGGAAAAACTAAGGGGGAACAATAGAGAATAATAGGCAGAATGCGAGAGTTAACGAATTGTAGGAGTAAGGGTTGGGTTATACCAGAATGTCTTAACTTCTTCATGTAGAAGGTAAGACGGAATATTTTCTTAGAAATCGCCAAGATATGAGACGACCAGGAAAGATCAGCAGATAGAATGACGCCTACGTATTTAATTTCCAACTTGGTTTCTATTTCAGTGCCATCTATGTTACACACCTCGTGAGAGCCAACCAGTTTGTTTTGGTCGGATTTATGCCTAAAGGTGAAATTGACTGTTTGGCATTTGGAGAGGTTTAAGGTAAGACCGTTTTCCTTGGACCACTGGCTGATTTCTGACAGAAAGCCATTTAGTTTAGAGCAGTCACTTTGACATTTGACAGGCAAAGATACATTCAGGTCGTCAGCATATTTGACAAAATTAATGTCATTTGAAGATGGTAAGTCATGTAGAAAGAAAGAAAGGAGAAGTCGGGAGAGTACAGCACAGAATACACATTTCAGAATAATTTCACTGAAGCAACTACAAAAAAATACTTCAACCTTATTTACTAATAAAAATCACGTTATATAGTTGCATAGTGTTGCATGGTAACACCCTATGAATGAGTGATAGACTTCTATTATTATATCACAGAAGGAAAACAAAAAACAACAACAACAATACAACAAATAGTAAATCTGTAGCTTTACACATCAATGAAATTATAATCTGATTTTACTTGCTTCCTGGTTACAAGAATCTCTAAGTTGAATTTTCCTTTCAAATATATATTGTTTTTTATCCCACTTTCAATGTAGCGCAATTTTCGCTGTCCTTATTTATTCAACACTAGTTGTACTGCTTTCTATTCTCTTTTTGTTAATTTGCTTACTCCCTACTTTATAGAATTAACTATGCAGCTAAATTCGTTTTCATAAAGAAAACGAGATTCATATGCTTGTCCTACAAACTTTCACAGCATCCAAACAGAGTAGTGTAACATCCTACCCTTGCTTACCAGTTTATATCTATATGATCACACGCAAATAGAGAGGACTCATTGATCTCTACAGGTTAGGGCTACGTGTCAGGTGGGGCTGCAAGAACGAATAAAATCACCTGATACAATTAATCCTGCGAAAAGATATCTATCGTTATCCATTGCAAACCACATCTCACAGAGGGGCAAGTCATAATACCTAAATTCATCGAAGCTTTAGACATGAAAAGAAGGCTTACATCTGTTTTATGGTGGTCCAGAATTACTTGTCATTACTGTTAGCCTACCTTGATAATCTAATTTTAAAAATTAGGTTTCATTTTACTTAATTGTGTTTTCACTCCCTCTTTTTTCTTACCTTATTTTCCTACCTATTATTTCTGCAGTATGTGCTTTGCTTCGTCTAAGTGCAAAGCACTCTTACAAGATTGACATGAACCTGTACGCGCAGTCACTCTTGCAGGTGAACCGCTTGAAGTTGTCGATAAGTTTGTGGATCTGGGTAGTTGTAAGAGTGCTGGCAGAGGAGTGACGGATGAGATTTCCAACCGTATCATGAAAGCCAGGGTGGCATACGTTAACTTGAGCCACCTCTGGCGCCGTCGCCACGTTAGCCTGTCTATCATAGGTCGGGTATACAATGATTCGGTGCTTTCTGTCTTGCTCAACATCTGTGAAACTTGGCTTCTCCGAGGTGAGGATGTGCGGCGACTCTGCGTTTGCGATCATCGCTGTCTCCGTAGGTTCGCTTGAGTTCGATGGCATCGGTGCGTCGGTGGCACAGTGGTTAGGACACCCGCCGACCATGCAAATGGTCTGGAGTTCGATTTCCGGCCGACGCACACCTGATATCAATGGTCGCTAAATTTGGGCTACCGATAGATATCACATGCTGAAATTTCCATATTTGTACCAAAGTACTGTGTGAATTCAAGCTATAATAAAATTAAAAAAATAAAAAATAATCGTCACGTGAGTAATACTGAGGCCTGGTGGTGTGTGTTTGAACACATTGAATATCACCATTTGTTGAGTGTCGTCATCTGGAAACACCGGCTTCGGTGGCTTGGACATTTGCTGCGAATGTCATCCCAGAGGTTTCCGTACAGGTTTCTCTTCGTTAGGCCTGGGACGAGATGGAAAGAGCGAAGAGGTGGTCAGCCCATGGCGTGGTGTCGTAGGATGAAGGATATTTGTGTTAAGCTAGCATCGGTTGGTGCGTCATGACTCCCTGGTTGGAGTCCGAGAGATACCTGAAACCGTTATCGGACATGACCAAGAATCGCAAACAGTGGCGAACGTACTGCAATTTCCTTCTTTCTTCCCTTTCCGACAATAATTGACGAATGATTTTTGAACTTGCTACAAATGACCGTTTTCCTTTCAAATGAAGTTCTTTATCCGTTCTCTACTTACATTTTTACTTTTAATCTATATTGTTTTCTTATTATTGTATGGCGCATCTTCTTGGTGCCATATTGTATCAAGTTGTTTTTTTTGTTTAAATAAATAGTAATCAATAAATACCTATTATTTCTGATCATGATCTGTTAACATTTGAACTTGTATTGATTTTTTTAATTGCGATCTTTTCTGCTCTGTTGCCTTTTATGTAAATATACGTGATAAGTACATATGTCATCAGAATACCGGAAATGTGTTGTGCAATTAAACTGCACATTTCACATAAATTACATCCTCTTCTTGTTGTTGTTGTTGTTTTTGAAGAACCTTATATATGAATCAACACCATCGTGATTGTGCAGTGATACGGAATCAACTATCAACTATACGATGACAGTTTTCAATTCACATTACAATTTTGAGGTGTGTGTGTGTGCGTATATACGAAGTTTTTGAAGATCTATTTAGCAAAAAATGAAAGCGATCAGTCAGTGAATAGAATAACAAATACAAACATACTTTCAAGTGATCACAACTCAGCTAGGAAAAAATAAAACGCACTGATATTGTTTTTCTCCAGTTTATATCACTTGCAAAGATAACAGCACACAACGATGTGTACTGCATGTTCCCGTTGCTACCTATACCAAGGCACATTGTAGACCAAACTAATATTATGATATTGCGAAGAAAAAAAGGTTGGTTAAACTAAGACATAACTGCAGAAATCAGTGGCGTCTTTGACTGTTGATCACAGTCGTGTGGATGGGTGAAGACGTTCTCCTTGGGATTCACAAGACAAATGAAACTGATAGTTAGACAAAACTTACTAAGAAAGGTCAGAATTAATCAACAGTAGCACTAAATTAACTCATCTATATCTTGACCTGAACAACTATATCACATTCCCCTGCATTCTGTATAGACCAAGTTTCTCTTAGTCTCACACCTCACATCCTAATACCAACCAAGTATGGCGACTATATGTCTTCTACTATATATATATATACCTTTATTATCCCAATCACATTAAGGTAACAAAAACACGAAAAAGAGAAGACAAAAAGAAAGAAACTCCCTAAAACTTACATTTTCATCAATTGAGGTAGTGACAAACAATTTATTCGTCAATAGATCTGATGATGGTGATGAATGGTTATCATTGAGTAGAACCAATGTGTCGGACACTACTTCTCCATTATTGTTATTTATATGATTATTAGCACGTGATTTATTCATTTCCAATAATTGTTTTAATCTCTCTGTTTCTGAATTCAATCGAGCAATTTCTAATTGTGCATATTTTAATTTCGCTTCAAGAGAAAGTACAGACTGCTTCTGTGCTTTACGATTATAACGTTCTTGGCATAACTGTGAATGAGCATGTACTGTTAGCCGATCTACTAGAATTGGTAAGCCATCCCAATCAGAGAAGGATGATAATGTATTCATCTGCAAAATTTAAAGAGAGAAAAAAAAAGAAATAGGAGACAACCTGAGTAAGCATATGCGTGTTTTTTGTTTCATTTCTTTGAGTTCCAAGGGAAACACATAATAGCTACAAGCTTTTGGAGTTTCTGTTAATCATGGCGGTGGTTGCGGTGGTGGTGTTTTCTACCCGACTTAGTCTCGATCGGCTAGTTACTCAGGCGAAGTTTAGCAGAAATGGAGTGCCGACCAGGAATTGAACTTGAATCTCCCGCGTAGGGTTCCACCAGTAAACAGTCTACCACTGAAGCATTGACATATTGTTATTTGCAGTTATTATTTCTTTACCGTCATAAAACCGGATATCTAGATGCAAACTAAGCGATTTGACTCCCGGTTCCAGATGATCATTAGAAATATGCATACACGATTTAAATAACCTGCTTCGGGTAGCACTAACACAAATTGTCATAAAAAAATAAAACAATCGATATAATGTTTCAAAAGCCAATGCACGTGACACACGTTCTTGCGTAATATTTCATTAAATAAGATCAAAAAAGTAATAAATGTTATCTTTGAAATCTAGATAACAGAGATTTATGCCCATATATATATATATATATATATATATATATATAGAGAGAGAGAGAGAGAGAAAGGACAGTAATTGCTTGAAAGTATTCTCTCTTTAAGTGAAATGCTTCTTTCTACCTAGTTGGCAACTACTCAATCACCATAATATTATAGTAAGTATAATTATATAACCGATGATAGATAGAGTCAGTGTGACAGTGAATCATCTGATTAGGCAGTAGTAGTGCAATTGAATTTCAGGGTATATTGATCGATAAAAAGAACTAACTAATTTATTTTTTATTCTATATTTAAGACAGTACACTGATCATTTACTTTACAGGAAGAATGAAATATATATGATTATTCTAATTGGTAATTTACTTTGATTATAAATAATTTTTTTAAAAATTATGTAATTTAATACGAGTGAATTAATTGCATTACAATGGAATTATGTTAAACGTGCATTCAAATTCTACAATTGTCCTTACACACTCTATACATTGTAAACGTGAGTATCACAGTATAGAAAGTCAAAATAATAATAATAATTGACTCATAGGAAACAATGAAAATGAATAAAAAGTCGAAGGTTATAGAAAACAGTATGTCACGATTCGTAATGCTGACTGACTAGCTTCAACATAGAACTTTGCATAGAACTTCAGCAGTCTGAGTTGCCACACTCCATGAAGCACACAAAGGAAGACAATAGAGAAAGGCAAAGGGACTCAAAATAACGATAATAAGCAGATATGTGAAGGACAAACAATAGGATTTTAACCGATATCGCAGATCACCAAAAATGAATACGTTCACACCATTGAGAACAATTTTGAGGCATAATCTCACAAATTGTCTACAGCCATTGGGTTCTTAGGATCCTGAAGACGCCAATCAGGCAGTTTACACCTACACCTCCCTCCCTATGTGGCTCAAACCCACTGTCAAGGATTTTACGGACTGAAAACGAGTGTCGGTTTGACCACCAGTGACTCTTTTCCACACTAATCCTATGTCAGCTAACATAGTGCGTCAAGGAAGAAGATGACAATGCAATCTTCAAAAAAAGTAATTTTCGACTTTGCTTCATCAAGATTTTCAAAAGACTAGATGATACACGGTTGATCTCCACTTACCATCAATAACCATTAAGATTTCTTCAAGGTATGAAATAGTTCCCAGGCGATGTAATTACGAACAAGTGAGTCAGCAAAGAGATCTCTTTTCGTAAATTCGTCGCACGAGAACTCTTCATACTACCTCAGTATGGTATAAAAATATGAATTAGTAAAAAGATCTATATAACCAGATCAATAGGAGTAAGGGAACTGATATAAGCAGAGGGGTGAGCTGATATTCGGGAGTTTATCCTTTAAATTACCTTACAGTAGTGTACAGCTAGAGAATATCACTCTTAGGACTATTGAGCACAGAATATTCTTAGAGAGTTAGGTACCGATGGGATTAGTAATTCCCCGGCAATGCAAAAAGCTAGTCTACCCTTTTAAACCATTCTGAGGAATGTTATCATCCAACTGCTAAGTAACTTCCCCGATTATTGATATAAGTATAAAACTTGGGCACTGTGGTAGAGCATAACTCCATTATGGATAAGATTTTATTTTGATAAATCACACAGTGTTGTACGGTAATATTAAATGATGACGATTCGAGCATAAACTCTTACTGATAATCATATCAAGTTGATATGATCAACTATCCATAATGAACTTCCCCGATTTCTAGAACGTATAAAAAGACAATCCTTGATACTTCCGAAATCGCTGATCTTATAAAAGATTTCAATGTAACTAGAAAACGTATGTTTTTATTGGATGTTGAGTCCCCATTTACAAGCGTATTGTTGATAAAAACAACCCGTTTCCTGTAGAAACGTTTGGATTATAGCAACCTGAGCGTCGGGATAAAAACGTCATAGTGAAGAAAGCGTTGTTCCAGTCAAAATCAATCATCAAACCTGCGTTCTGCTTTTAAGCGATCCCGTTCTAATCATATCAACAGTGGGGAATAAATGCAAAATAACGGCTCTCATAAGCTTACATAGATGTTTGTACGTTAAAAGCATATCTTTGAATAGTTCCAGATCTAATAATAATAATAATAATTTATTTTATCCTGAAACCAGTACTTCTGATACAGAATGGAACTTTCAGCATTAATCACAATATTGCATCTAATTTCCTCAAATTATAAATAAATTTAATCACACAGAAAATTTTTCCACATTTACAATAGGGGTAAATATCAAAAACATGCAGCATACAAAGTGGAAATAATAATGATAACAGCTAAGGTAATAATAATGATACAAGTGAAAATTGCCGTGGGCTTGTTTCACACAGTATTATCGATACGGTATAGAAATCCTAGCATGTTTAAAAATATTGAATATAATGTTCTCTTTACATGATATGGTGAGGGGGAAAAGTATGGTATCATAGAATTTTTATACTTAGACGTGCTAGCATACAGTTTTCTGAAGTTACTTCTTGTTCTACCTGAGGAGATGCAAGGTGAAAGCTGAGGGTAAAGTGGATGCTCCAAGTCAGACAAAATCCCTTTAGCAAATTTACTGCACGAAGTCAAGTGCCTATCGACAACGACGTTAACTATGTGGTCCACTGGGACACCACTCACCCTACTGACAGTCTTCAGCATTCTACGAATTGTGACATAGTCATTTTTAAGCAAACCAGGAAAGAATAAGGGTGAACAATAAAGAAGAATAGGTAGGATGCAAGAGTTTATGAACTGTAAGAGGAGGGGTTGAGTTATACCCGAGTGCCTTAACTTCTTAATGTAAAATGTCAGGCGGAATATTTTACTGGAGATCGCTAAGACATGGGAAGACCAGGAGAGATCAGAAGAGAGAATAAGTCCAAGATACTTAATTTCTGATTGAATTCCTATATCACTGTCGTCAATCTTACAACTGTCATGAGAATCGACGGTTTCTTTTAGCTGTCTTTTACATCTTAAGCTGTAATTAACAGTTTGACATTTAGAAGGACTCAGTTTAAGACCGTTAGACTCAGACCATTTACTGACTCCCGACAGAAGGCTACTCATTTTGGTACCGTCTAGCTGGGAGTTAACAGCCATTGAAACTGTTAGATCATCAGCGTACTTCACAAAGTTTATTTCATCAGAGTGAGGCAAGTCATGTAAGACAAACGAAAAGGAGAAAGGACAGCGCCTTGAGGGACACCAGCTTCAGTAGGCAATGAAGTGGGAGACTTCCCTTTATACACGGTGTACTGCTTTCTTTCTGAGAAATAGGAATGTAACCAGTTAACAGCCCAACATTCTGTTTGACTTGCAGCAAGTTTATTTAATAAGATGTCCCTAGGGACCAAGGTCAAAAGCAGATGTATAGTCTAGGAAGGCACAACGAACAAATTTAGCCCCCTTGTCTAGACTGGAAGCAATGTTATGATATAAGAGGACAGCTAGATCTAAAGTGCTTCTACTGTGCTTATAGGCAAATTGTTTAGGGTAATTAAAGGATTTAAGCGAAGGTACAAGACTAAGTAAAAGTAATTTCTCCATAGTTCTCAAAAAAGGAGAGGTAATAGCAATGGGTCTAAATTTGACACATGCTCCAGTAGATGATTTAGGTATAGATACAACTTTAATGTCCTTCCAAATGGCAGGCACAATATTACTGGAAAAAGATTTGTTAAATAGATCAGTGAGAGGGTGACACAGAATATCAGAACACTTAAAAAAATAATACTAGGTACATAATCTGGACCTAAGCTCTGGAAAGGGTTCAAAGACTTGAGGCACTTTTGAACATCATGTGTTAAAACCTGGAAAGGGGCTTTTATTAACACTAGTGATGCTGGGAAGCATGGCATTTGAGGGAGAGTAAATAAAAGATTTATTAAGAGTACATACATCAAAAGAATACGGAATATTTTTTATCTGCTTACCACCAGTGATTTCCTTAAATAGTTTCCACATATTAGAAGCATTTTTGCAGGATATGAATTTCTGGTTATATATTACATTCAACCTCTGCATTTCAGACTTGATTAAGAAGTTAGTTCTTTTTACACCACTTTTTTCTTTCATTTTATATAGTTTTTCCTTCCCTCTACGAAGCTTTTTAAGTTGAGGGGAGGAGAAACGGTCAAATTTGACGAATAGTGTTTCTTTTGGACAGCAGATTTCAAAACAGAATTTCAGATAAGATGTAATATTAGAGATAGTGTCATCAAGTGAATCATCATCATTAAACAGATCCCACCTTGTGTCACTGAGCATGTTTCTAAGATGATGTACGTTCTCATTTGAGTAACATCTGTGAACAACTTTCTTGGACAAGTTTGAGAAGGCTTTATTGTGTAACTTTCCGTAAATTTTGGGTAAAACTCGTACAATGCAGTGATCCGAATTGAAGAGCGGAGCTCTTTTAC